AATTTCATTTTCTTCCAAAAATCACAAAAGCCTTTCCCGAGTATAAACAGCTAAACATTCTCAGAAGCGAGAAAGTGAATTTACTTAGAACATTTCACTATGAAAAAGAATGGGGCTGCAGCGACGAGCTGCTGCAGAACGTTCGAAAAAGATTGACGAAATCAACATCGTTCCGATTCTAATCTAATCTCTTCTTCTTTTTTTCTGTCTTTGTTCTAGCCTTCTTCCAAAATCTGTGTCCACCCTATCCTAATCAACACGTCTAACTGTTTGATTAATACTATGTTGAAAAACTAAATGTAAGTGAATACTTGCTTCCTACTCTTCACTCTTTGTTTTTTTTCAGAGTTTTATTCAGTATCGCTGCGAGAAAATAAAGATGATTGGTGTAGCTGTCAATAAAAAAATCTGAAGCATCGTTCGTGGGAAGCCTTTTCTCATTCACTATGTTATACATTTGAATGCCATCTGACTATCTTCATTCTTTTGTACAAACTCTCGAATGTGGAAGTTGCTGTTCAATATTGAAACTCTGCAAATTTCTGCAACTCAAAAATTTTCGCTAATTTCGCAAAAAAATGCGGCATGATCCAACCGAATTCCAAATTTCCGTAAAAAAAGTCAATTAAATTAACAGTTCAGCAGAACTTTGCAAAGAAAACAGGGTTTTGCGGGAAAATGCGCTTTCTTAGGGCTTTTGCAAAATTGTTCAAACGGAATTTTCCGATGATTTGACTAGCCATATTTTTAAGCACTATTTTTAAGCCATATTTTAGATCTACTACGTGCAGCCACACTTTTGACTCTCAGCAGATATATTATATTGGTCTGAAAGACCATTTCCGAGGAAAAAATATCAGCTTTAACTTACATTTATTTACTTTTCACGTATATACACGCCGAGGAGTTCTTCTCTTTGATTTGTTATGTCTTGTTAATATCTTGTAAACCCATTCTTTTTCATAGTGAAATGTTCTAAGTAAATTCACTTTCTCGCTTCTGAGAATGTTTAGCTGTTTATACTCGGGAAAGGCTTTTGTGATTTTTGGAAGAAAATGAAATTAAATAAGACGCTGTCTCGAGACAGAGCCACAGTATGCTTTCTGTTTAGAAGTAACTCAAAGGAAGTTGTAAATTAAAGCTTTCTAAAATTTGGCAAACGAACGCGATAAAGTGCATCTAGCCAAAATGCAAAATCTTAGTTGTCCAAACTAAGGACTGTTAACTCTGACACTGTTTTCTTTTCCTTTTTTATGTCTGTGTTCTAGCTCGCAAAATTCTCCGGTTCGGCTCCTCGACTAATATCACTATACAGACGTTAAAGTAAGTGCTCTTCGTCCAGTATAAACAAGAGAGACTATGACAGGTCTTTTCCAGTCAGGTCATTAATTTATTAACGATTTTCAAGATAGCTTCGTTTCTGCAAAGGAGACATCGTTTTTTTTCATTTTCTCTTGATGTATTAGGGAAACCTTGAGTTAAGCTTTAACCAAAAGTAACAGCATCTTCCACAGGTAGTTCCAAATTAGTATTTGTGCGCAGAGCACATTTTTTCCGTTCGCAGAATCTTCGTACTCCGTTCGACCGCTTTCGACTCGTCCACCCTATATACGAACAGATTTTCATCGTTTTGAGAGCTGGAGAAGTGAACGGTGAACTCGCTTTCGCTTTTGCAAGTGCACTTCCTTAAAGATTATTTTACACTTTCAAGTTAGACTAAAGAAGACCATTCGAAACTTCTCGGTGGTGGACAGTGTGTGAATAAACAGTTTATCATTTTGACTTTAATTAATCAGTTTAGCAAGTGGCTAATGGCACTCTTGAAATTGCATCCGTATGGGTATCACTTTTCATTTGATTTGTGCAGCGACGAAAGTGTCTGTTGTTTTCAAAGCGTTCCATTGACCTTCTTCTTTGATCTCCTGTTGTTAAATTAAATTTCGCTTTAGCTTTCATTCATCATAAGGTCGAACCGAAGAGTTCGAACTTTCCTTACCGCAAAGTGCCGTAGCCTACTACAGACATTGCCCAGAACAAAATAAAAATAATCAACTGTTCAACATTTTCCAAAGGTGCCTGTAGTGAAAGTCGACAAAAAAGAACATGGAAAATACTTCGCTTTTAAAAATATCATAATGCTATCCATTAGATGGATCCTTCTACACTCTACGGAAACTTTCATGAACAACTCTGTCGAACATTAACTTGACTTAGAAGGACTTTCGTTCGCCACATGAAGTATAGGAATTTGTACAGAATTTCGCGCTGAATTTCATGGTATATTGTGTTTTGATTAACAAGTCATTTTTAGTCAGAAGAACTTCAGTTAGATAGGGGGGGCAGTTTCCGTAACGTATCACATTTTATTTGTACACTGAAGATTCAAGAATAACTTCAAAACAAAACCAACAGTTTTGTAGAGAATTAACTTTTCCATCTTTTGAAGCTAAATATTAAGTTTGTAAACGCAAGTCGATATGGCTAAAAATTTAATCGAACAGTGCTTCAGGACTACTGGCCCACCCTAAACACAAGAAATCGTTTTTGATTTTCGAAAGTTTTTATCTTTTTCGCCTTTCCTTTAATTTGCTTAGTTTTCTCGGTTGAAGTTCTGAAATTCAAGTTTAGGTACGATTTTGCAGATAGTTAGTTTACTTAAAAAACATAATCTCTGAGGACCCTGAGAAACAGTAGATAGAAGATTTAATTCTCTACAAAACTTGACTTGTCTAGCGAACGGTCTCCTTTTTTAACCCATTTTCAAAAAATTATTGCAATAAAGTTACAAACTGATCTAAAACTGCAACTAGATAATTAAATAGATTAAACATTTATCTAAAAAATGAAAAGTGTCTCGGCTCTGAACGTTAATTCCCTATGAAAATACAGCCGTTGTACAAACAGCTCGAAAAATCGGTTTTGGGGATAGCTGAAAAATTTGTCTAAAAGAGTAAGACGAGCTGGCGAAAACTGAGCAAGTATATCAATTTGTAGAAAATTGTTTCCTCTACCCGATGTGATAGCTTTTTAAGTTTGAAACTATTCTTATTAATCTGTAGTAATCAAAGAAAAACCGTGACGCTGTACGTTTGACCGTTTTTTGTCACAGCGTCACGGTTTTTCTGATTTTTCATAGAAAATCAACGTGCACAGCCGAGATACTTTTCATTTTGTAGAGAAATGTTTAACCTACTTAATTATCGTCAGCTGGACAAGCCTACAAAGGCTGACCGTCAGCTGGACAAGCTGTTTAGTACAAAGATGAGGACTCCCTTGTAATAGTAAGTCTCATAAGCTTTTTTATTTTCTTACTCATTTTCCTTTCTTTCGACGTTTCATTTAACTGCAATAATTTATCTCAGTCGTAATTTGAACAGTGAGGATGAGGGTGACTCTGGTCAGAGAAATGAATGATATAATAATTTGTATTCGTAAGTCTTTTAGTACTGTATTCGAGAACGTTTATCTCGTAGTATATAGAAATGATCTACATCCATCCCAACCCTTTTCTATACATCAATTGAAGTCATTGCTTGACCAGTTATATCTATTTCATGTTCATGATCATGGTTATAACCTTGTTTTCCAATCCAAACACATACATGGGTTCCAACATAATTGACATCAAACTGTTGTTGTCGTTGCTTCATTTGTCGTCTTAACAGACGATCAACGTTTGTTCGAAATTCTCTTGATAATTTTGATATGGATCGATATTTTGCACCGATATCACATTGGCGTATTAATTTCATTTTTAATACTTTCATTTGAATTTCAATTATGTTCACCATTTCTGTTAACAACATTGGCAACATATAAATAACATCGTTAACAAATTCAACTTCACATCCGAGATATTTCATATTTGTATTAAATACAGCTAAAAATTTTTTAAACATAATATTACGTTTCATATATAAAGGGGGATTAATTCGTCCTTGATGATCTTGTTGAAAATGTAGTTGTTCAATGTGATCATGAAAATATGCACATAAATCATCATATTGAAAGTCATTTGTTATTTTTAATAATACTGAATATGTCAAACGTAATATTTTCAAACTAGACATTTTTGAAAACAGAAGATAACTATTAATATCAATGGATGAAATTAAATACAAATCCACTATTGTTGATAAATTCAATGTAGAACTGAATAATTTTAATAATAATTCATCATTACGAAAAGACGATAAATTTAAATTCTGGTGACATTGTAATGTATGAATATCGGAAAAATAATGATGAGTACCTTTAGACCGCATCGTTAATATGTGTACACGTTGATAGAGGTCATTTGTTGTTGTTGATGGATTCGTTGTCAATAATTGAAATTGTTCACGTTGTGATAGTAATGTATAGCCATTACATGGATAGGGTATTGTATAGATTGTTATATAATTATGAAATTTGTCAGTCTGATATTCAATATTAACATACCACTGATGTTCAATTAACCAGAACATTGATTCATAAGATGATTTTAATTCTTGAACGTTATTTGGACAATCAGAAGCTGCAATATGAAATTCAAAGTGTTTTAAATTTGTTAATGTTGATAATATCGACGACCAATAATTGCCATCAATTTGATTTTGATCGATTGATGAGAATATAGATAAATATTGAATATTTGGGATTGATTTCAATAAGTCATGTGTACCATTAAACAGAGCTGTTGTTGCTTTAATTTTTAGTTGTTTCATATTGATGGCAACCACAGCTGATAATGGAACAGTTATCCCATTTAATAGCTCAATTGTTAATGATTTCAAATTCGGTATATGTTGGAAAATAATTATTAAATCAAATGAATCAATTTTATTCAAATGTAAATACTGGATTGTTGTTGATATTGTTGATGATATATTTTTAAAAGAAAATAAATCACATAAAAATGTGAATGATTTTAATTGTTTTAATAATTCAAATAAAGCAGATTTAATTATCAATTTATCATTGTCACTTCTGTTTTCAGTCAATGTAGGATGATTAACCAGATGCAAATTATTTAGATTTTTTGTTTTCGATAAAAGTATGGGTAAAAGATATTTTAAGTCATCGACTGTTGGCCATAGTAATGATAATGAATTTAATTGTTGTTGTTGTTCAGTGTCATAATTGTCATACCAGTATTTAATTTGTCCACAAATATGACTGTTTGATAAAGATAGTGATCGAATTATTTTATTTTTGGCTTGTTTACACATATAATCAAAATCATGTTTTGATACTAATGTTAAATCAAGATTAAAGGATACATCACTGAGAATGCTGTTTAAACGTGTATTCAAATTTAGAAAACATTGGTATAAAACATTTGTTTGAATGTAATTAAATATAATAATAAGAATTTCATTAGGTAAATATTCAAATAGTGTTATCATTGTTGGTGTTCTTGTTCGTGTTCTTAGCAATAAGTCTCTCATTCTATTTATATCGTTCTTGCAAAGTATTTCACAATCATCTCGCAACTTTTTCTTTCTCTCTATTCTCTCTGCTTTATCAGTACAAACGAAAGGACATATTCTTGATCTTTCTGTTTCTTCTGTTACAGCTGTTTCTACGTGCATGAGCTAGAAAGCATGAATCAAACGGTACTTAGGAAAGACTGATTCATGCTAAATTGACGAGGTCACCCTCTCCCTTAGTTCTACTCCACATGAGAACAACCCGTGGTGCGTCTAGGTTCTGTAGTAAAATAAGCTGTAATGATCGCAACTAGCGTTAAGAAAATTGGAGCATCATATCCCTCTATGTGGAAAATAATCCGCTTTGTGATCCAGCGCATCGTTACCTTGCAACAGTCATTCTACGATATCTACTAATGTCCATCCCAACGGCCATTGGGTCTTAAAGAGTTAATGCATATTGACGAGTCTAGTGTTAAGAGGTGTTAAGCAATAATTCTTCTCTTACTCGAGATGTTTTTATTGTACTCGATTCTTCCTTTTGTTCACATCACATGTTATGATAGTATAACATGCGGAGATCATATGTTTATAGTGACTTTTGTCCTTCTTTCTTATTCTTCTGACGTCATGACGCCATGTTATATCCTATTCTACTGATGTCATTAGTCCGGTCAGTAGTAAACGTCATATCTCTCCTGTTCTTCTGACATCATGTTCTGTTTAGTTCTTATGATGTCATCAGCCTTCTATTTCTTGTATGTTCAATAATATATATATATATATACAGTTGTATTTATCATGTCGAATGCTTAAGTTTTCTTAGTGAATAACGTAGGTTCCTAAATGCGGCCGAAATTTAAGCCAATTAGTATAAAAGTGGACGCCATTTGGAATGAGTAAATTTGTATGATTCTGCGTTTCCAAATTGCGCCCACTATTTAATTTGTGAGTAATCAACAATCGTAATTTAATATACAGATACATAAATTAGTCGCGTTTTAGAAAAAATAGAAGTAGAAACATATATAAGAAGAACTGATGACTATATACGAACGTCAGAATAAGAAGGAGCTCTCAGAACAAAATGATTAGTTTTGATTAAAAATCAGTAAAATATATCCTAATGATTACTTCTCGCAAAAGAATGTTTAATACCATTAATACAATTAATGATGTATTTCTACAAACACTAGTTAAGGGTTGACATTTTCACTACGCTCAGAATGTATGGAAAAAAACTAAAAAAAATGGTTTGGTAAAATTAGCAAAACCAGAAAATATTCAGTACATGGATTAATGAAGTTCGTTCATCTGAAAAATCTGTTATGTGTCGTTATGAACAAGAACAAGCTCAAAAGCGTACAACAAGACCACGAAAAATAAAAAATATACGTGATGATGTGAAGCTTAAATTAGCAAAAACAAAATATATCGAAGATAAAGACCTTGGTAGGTATCAAAAAGTTTGGGTATCAAATTTTTTGATCCCCAAAAAAGTGACTTTTGATCCCCAAATTTATTAACAGTGAAATGATCCCCAAATCAATTAAAGATATTTAAATTAAAGAAAATATATGCAAGAAGAATATATAGCAATTTAATAGAAAATTAATTAGTAAACAGTATATAGAGGAAGAATATTTATACAAGAAGAAATATGAACAGAGTAGAAAGAAACTAATCACCAAACCAATTAACGAAAATTTAAATTAAAGAAAAAATATTCAACAAAAATACTCACTTTATAGCAACAAAGCTGTACGAACCTTTTTCGGACGACCTTTACCTTTTCTCTTACCCAATGGTTCACAAAGTGTGCTGTCCGTCACTTGGTACATGTTGAATAAAATGCCTAATCCAACTGAATGCTTACAGGTGTATTGCTTGAGGCCAATTGGACACGTACACGATGTAAGCGGTGACACTAACCAACCTGATGTCTGCCATGCTACAAAATCGTCAAATAATGCGCATTGACCAGATCGATACAAATCCAACCAAACTGTCATTGTTATTGTTGGCGTGGATGATGGAACAACATAAAATGTATTAAACCAATGCAGAATATCAGATCGATTTATACGTACGGACCATTTGTAAGCATGCAGCTCCGTATCAGGAGATATACTTGTAACAGCAGCAAATGGTGATGAAATACTTGCCTCTGACCAATCTGTTAACATTTGTTCCATTTTTGGTAGAAACCCCGATAAATGTAACTTATTACGGGGTGTATGTTTTTGTTTTATAATGGCATTCATCGATTAGCAGCCATTATTCGTGGACGGTTTACCAAATGCAGCATCCTCGTACCTAAATGACAGCACCTGGGTTAGTCTTAAGCATACACATTGACTCTATTTTCTTACCAACAGGGTAATTTTGTTATCCACTGATCAACGAAGTAATCGGAAAATTTCTTCGTAGCTGGAGTGCATTCCATTTTGCATCAATACTTACCCACTGTTCTTTTGTGACTAAATTACGATGTAATCTGCATTTTTGGATCATGTGGAACCAGCACATCATACGAGGACTGTGTGGAAACACTGTCTGAGAACTTGTAATACCTAAATAATAAACGGAATACGTAAAGATACAAGAAGATAAAAGATAGTTGTGGCATACCTAATGCTCCATCGGCCATCACGTGATCAATTAAACATGGTTGATTGAACTCTTGCGCAGCTAACGCATTAATTGATGTAAATAATTGGTTATAACATTTGGCATTCTCATCATGAGAAATTAATGCTACACCAAACGGCTTGAAATGACGAGTGGCATCCGTTGATCCAAAAACCAAAAGTGGCAATTCATTCCACGTAGTTTTGTACGTTGCATCAACTTGGAGATATGTTGTGGGCCGAATCTGCTGGAATAATTGTTTTGTGGTAAAGAATACGAAAATATTGTTTATGTCTAAAATAGTATAAAAGGGCACAAAAGTTGAATGTATCTGCTTACCTTCATTATGTTCGTCACACCAGTTTCGTAAATCGAAAACTGAAAAAATCTCTGGTCTATCCTTTCGACTTTCGTACGATACTAAATTAGTTAACTTGGTTTCCGTGATGGGAGCATTTGGATGATCTTGAACTAATGATGACTTAATTTGTGTATGTGATAGTCCACATTTAACATATTTTGACACCGATTTCCGAATGGGTGATGGTAAACGTGTTGTAGAATTGAGTTCTTCCTGTTCGTGTTTATGTTCATTGCTGGACATGATCATCACTGATTGCGGATTACTATCCAGCACCTTTATCTGAATTTCAAAAGAACAAAACGTTTTAAGAGCTCTTTCTCATCGGTATATAGATGTTATAAAAGATGCCAGAGATAGTAATGACGAAGATTAAATTCTTTATTGATATAGCTGTTTTGTATATAATACATAAATATATAGTCATCAATTCTTCTTATATATGTTTCTACTTCTATTTTTTGGATTATGCGAGGGTTTATTGACCACGCTCTGGAGCGCTTGAAAAAATTAGAGAATATACGAAGAACAATTACAAAAAAAAGGAATAAGACCGAGCAACACACAACGACAGACCATCTATATCACGGACAAAAGGCTGAGTATACAGAACACGGGAAAAAGAGGAACAACAAAAAAATAAAAATAAAACCCGTAAATGTTTCTTACTTCTGTTTTAACAAACAAACTCCAACCATTTAACGAGGGAAGATTCGCGCTTACATATCATTTTTTTAACCCTTTTCATACAGAAGAAGTGATCACACTTAGAGGATCTCTCATTAAAGTTTTCCCAAAAAAATAGAACGTTAAAAAAGAAGGATGAACCCAAATCTGTTTCATATAACTTTGCCAACCTTTTAGAGATATACTTTTTTATATAATGAAC